CTAAAGGATTCTATGATTCTAAATCTTTCCACAGAAACACCTCCTGCAGATGCCACATCTTCAACACTTACCTCAAGGGTAAGTTATGAAATAGTATTTGAACTTGATACCTTAAATATTTCAAGTGGAAACAGATAAAAACATCATGGCATTCCACTCAAACTGTCACACAGTACTGAATTGTTCTTCACCACATACCAGCCTAGAATAAATATACATAATGAATTAAAGAATAAAAAACTTCACAGGCTGACTAGATCAGCATGTGAAGCTGACAGCCCTGACTTTCTTGTTCTTACTTTAATCCAGTATTGTTTGTATGAAAGCTAAGTGAGGAGCAAGACTTGTGACATTCTGATCCCTAGCTGGTTATGTATTCCAAAGTAAAAATTAATGACATCTGATAACTTAGACAATTTGGATTTAGATTGTTACCTTAAATTATGGCTACTGTGAATGCATTTGGAGGTAGGCTCAGACCCACTCCTAGCAGCACATTTTTCCTAACAGAACTTGTTTTTCTGATCTGTTTGGTAGAAGGCATGCCTTTCCCAGTTCTCATCTCATGAAGCGTACTGCAGGAAACCCTGCAATAATAAGAAGCTATCTTTTGTTAAATTAACAGTTGCACAGTACATGCAACAATAGTTTCTACAGTTAACAGAAACCAGCCACCCTTCTGAAACATCACTTCAAAGCCTTTCAAAAGGATGAAGCAATCGGAACTGCCTACCCACTTTACCCTGAACACTGCAGTTTCTGTGGACTCTGGAAGGGCAGAGCTCGGTCCTGACAGCAGCCGGGGGGTCAGGCCAGCTCCAGACGTGGGGCTGTGTGCAGGGAAGGGCTGCCCCACCTCACCCAAACCTCGCCCCACCTCACCCCGACCTCGCCCGTACAGCACGTTCCTGGCCGCTCACATGCTGCCACAGCTCTCCCTGCTCTTCCCTCTTCCCACCAAACCTGCTGCACCCGGGGCCAGGGCTGCATTTCAACAGGTTCTTGCCTATTTTGTAGAGCTCACAGGTAAGCCTGAGGGTTTTTTTTATGCTTATTACTTTATGATAATAAACACCGTGTTCTTTGCATAGTGTTTGGGAAGGCACCTGCTGCTGCTGCATACTACTTAGGGTGTATTTCTGAGAAAATAATTGGAAAAAAACCCACCTTGTGATTCAAACATTAAAGCAGAGAAATAGTAACTATAACTAATGACAGTATTCCATTCAAATTCATACTTTTCTTCAGTGGATATCTATGCTGCTTACCAAACAAGTGTAAGATTTCTCTCAGAGTCAGTTCATCGCCCAGTTTAAATGCTGGTGGTGGTGGTGAAGTGTTCTGTGTATGCTACTTTATACCGAACTTCTGTAAGAAAAGGTATTGCTATATTGTTATTGCTTCTGCTGAGTTTAGTTATACTGAAAATGAAAAGGTAATACACACTTAGGAAGCTCGGTCAGTGCACTTTTGCCTGTCAGGTTGCTAGCTAGTAACAGCAGGGGAAAATGAATTATAGAATACAATTCATATTTATATTCCTTTCTGTAACTCACTAAAAACTTACAAATTATATTCTCAGTACAAAAATTAAAATACATTTAAGCTTGAAAATTTAATATTCATTGCTCATTAGATTTGTCAGTATCTCATCTTTGGAGAACAATCCAAATTTTAGAGCAAAAAGCCACAGGAGTAAAAATCTAATAGTCTTCTGGAACCATAATTTTCTATTATGTTATTATAGTATAAAAATAGACATAAAAATATATCTGTATGACATAGAACCACAGCCTCCTCCGTGTGGCTGTACCTATGTTAATCCAATTCATTTTAATCCAAATCAAGAGGGTGCTTTTTAAGTCTCCTGATCATCTCCCCTTGTTACAGTTTCCCCTTGTTCAGTTTACACCACTGGGCACCCCTGTCAGTGAGCCAAGTAATGGGCTCTGTGAGTAGCCCAACACAGGCCAGCTCTTCAAGGGTGCTCAGTCCCAGGGAAGAGATTGTGGCAAGCAAACCCCTCTAGAAACGTGTGAAGAGTGGGTATCAAGTCACCAGCACCTCTACAGATCTCTTGCAACTGAGCTACACATTTTCCAATAAAAGACACAATCTGTGCATACTCAAGTTCACACTGGAGGGCCATTTTTATGGGAAATCACATTCACAACTTGGTGAACTCCTCAAATAAGGGCCCTTGGTGTACTCCTCAAATAAGGGCCACTACATCTCTCCATAAAGCCATACGCCTAAGGAGAAATTTTAGCCTTCCCTTTTTCGGAGCTGGCTTTTCTTTTTCCACCCCATTGTCACGGGTCTCAGATGAAATTTGACTCCAGCAGCACAGAAATGAATGCAAAATCCACTGAAGAAACATAGTGGTGACCAGCCTACATAAAACCCTCATTTTTCATGCTAAAAAAAGGTAGAGCTAATCTAGGTAACCGCCTAATCCCATACCAATGTCGTTTCTACTCATTTCAGGCTACGCCTGCTGCACTGATTTCCACAGAGCTGGTACTGAGTAATGTGAATAGCAGTGAATCAAAAAGGAAGGCCTTTGTTTTTCATTAATAATCTGCTCATAGCTTCCTTAAACACACACTTGAACAGCTAACTGAAGGTTTGAGCTTTTCCGCAAGTTTGGCTAATCTGTATCACTGCTGTTTACTGTAATTAGGTTCTAAAGGCCACACAAGTATTTTCAATGCATTTCTACATCTACACGAACAAATATTGCACTAGAAAAAGAAGAGTTATTTATGACACACAAAATGATTCCCAGGAAGCAGCTCACCACAGCCTAGGAACCATGGTACACAACTTTCAAAGCAAGGAGGTTTCTTCTTTATGGTCCCCCATGAAGATGACAAAAATAAGCCAATCAGAAAAAAAAAAAAAAACAACAAAGAATTTGTTCAGCAAGGAGTGCAACTCCTTTGTATACTGCTCTGCAAATTAAAATTACACTTGAAATGAATTAAGTATAATTTCTCTAAGGGGTTTAGGTACAGTGAAGGAATAACGAGAGATATGACCAAACCCGCTTGGTTCATTAATATGATTATTAATATAAAGAAGGAAAGAACATACTACTGAATTAAAACAATAACACTGTCCAAATGAAAGCATGTGTTTGAAAAACTTTGTCAAATACAACAGGCTTTTTTTCTTCACTGGTAGGCAGTTAATAGTACTAAGAAATCAAAGTCTAATTTTCAGATTGCACAGCATCTCATGGTCATCCAAAAGCCTATCATTCAAATTGTAAACATAACTGGAGCTGATAATTGAACTCCAAAGGGATTTTCTTTGGCTTCCTTGTTTGTGGTCAAAGTGGTTATCCTGAGTTTGACTGATACCTAAGCGCAAGTTCTCTCTCTCTCCCTCTCTCTCTCATTTTTTTCTAAATAAGTTACAAATGTTTTCAAAGCATAGGTCCTTCCCACCATATAACTGACCATAACTTGGGAAATATGCAGTGTGGAAAAATGGAACAGATGCTAAAAAGCAAATGAAATTGTGCTTTATAAATACACGTGTTTCAAGTAATGGTACCACCTTCTAAAACACAAAAGAATTAACAGTAAAGCAAAAATGAGATAACATGATATTTAATTATCATCTACCCATTGATATAACAATATTCATAGCTGACTGCTACCTACTGTACCTGTATGTGCACTTTCCATTGCTCTGATACTGTTACACACAAAGAAGTTAATCTGGAGAAAATGTACAATTAAATGGAAAAACAAAACCCACAACTAAGCAAGCAAAAAACCAAAACCAGCCCCTAAGCCCTTGTGCCCTAAACAAAACACCCACAGGTAAAATTTTAAGAGAAGAGGCTGAATATGAGAGTCACTTTTTCCAAGTGTGTCTATCTCCTTCCTTCAGATGGTAAGACACACACATACAGGGACACCTTACTCATTAATGATGCTGAAGATGTAACTTCTTACACTTTTTATTGTGCTGTCACATGAGAGGTTATGTGTGGGAGTTAAAATCTGCATGACCTCAGTCTGCCTCACACATAGAAAAAAACCCTGCTCCCCTGCCCAGCCAACCCCCCCAGATATACTGAACAGCATACTTGCCACAGAGAGCTGACTTCAAGATGAGTTCTTCTCATCCTTCTCAATATAATATTTGAGAAATAAATGCATAATATACAGCTTCCAGTTTTCTACAGGAAAAAACCTTCCACATGCTGAATTTTCAGCATCATCCATTACCTCTGGACTGATTTAGTTTCCAATTTGTTCCTGGCAGCATTTATATGACACTCATTGCTTGGGGCCACAAAACATTATTTATCAACGTTCAGGGCTAATTGTAACAATGATATTTTTTCACAATGGAGTATAACTCTTCAGCATGCCCTTGGAGTTCCTGCCTGCCCAGAAAACACTGCCTTGAGCATGCTATCCAAAGATGTATTTTCTATACCAAAGTGGTTTTGAACTATTCCCCTCTGCACATAAGGCCTGTTTATAGAACCATTAAATCTTGTGCAAAAACCTTTTGCTGATTATCAATATTGTTTTAGGTCATTAACACTCAGTGATGTTGTTTTCAGCATCAATGCATGGTAAACTAATAAGTGTTCTAGAATGTAACACTAACTTTTTCTCCCAGCTTCTTTGGGACTTAACTGAGCAGCTTTGTTTTGCAAAATAAAATAACAGACAAAAGTGAATTTCTTGCAGGCTCTGTATATAACAAAACAAGCTTTGAAGTCAACACCATGCAACCCTCCTCTGGAATGGTTTTCATTTTTCTGCTTGTAAGGCTGCAATGGAACAAAAGTAATACTGAGGGCAAAGCAGTAAATGAAACAAATAATGGAAACAGCTCAGTTGCAGATAATAGTCAGACTACAGTGCAAACAACTTCACAGGTATTTGCTCTGCCTGTGTCTACTGCCATCAATCGTTCTGCCGTCAGTCACACTGCACCAACAGCTGCCAGTGCCAAAGGAAACGTAATGAGAAGAAGGGAGAAGAGCACTCGGCCAACGAGCACACCCCAGAGGCCCACTGATGGCACCACTTTATCTTCAAAGATCACTACAGCATCAAAAGATGGAATAAATAACTCTGCCACAAATGTCAACAAGATCCCAACATCTTTACCGACATTTACAACAACAGGTGACTTTTCTGGAGTGACTAGAAGTGCTGCAGCTACTTCAACTTCCACAGTGAAACCAAGTACCTCCACAGTCACCTCCAGCACCCTTTCAATCAACCCCACCACACTGTTCCCCACCAGGATCACTCTGACATCACCCACGGTGAGGCAGGACAGTCCTACATCCAACTCCAACGCCATTCAGCAGACAACAGAGCTGAATTATCATTTCAGCAACCCTTCTACTGCATCACCTAATCCAAAAGATGCCAATGAAGGTAAGTATCTAAAGTCCAGCTGGTATAATAAAATGATTATGCTGCAATAAAACCATTTTCTCATTGAACAAGAGGCTTTATAAGATGTGTGAATTAACTGGTGACCTAGTACAGACTAAAACTAAAGTTCATTCAAAATAAAAAGTGTTTCAAAATTATTTTCTGTTTGGTTACTTGTTTGCTTAACACTTCCAAGAGTGGGGGAACCTAATGACAGCTGCTGCCCATTCAGACTGGAGAGCATCTTCAAAGCAGATGTGTAGAAATAACATTTAAAATATGCAACATGCCAACTCTTAAGTTTAGAACCTTTTGTGACCAAAGATAATGGCTTACAAAAAGGAATTCCTTATAAAGGAATTACTCATAGTGCATTTAGTTATCAAGCTGAATATGCGTGGGGAAATAATGGAGCACAAAGCTGTCATGGTACTTCTCTACCCTGCTGCTCTGAATCAGGACTCCAGGAAAAGAAAAGGAAAATTAGAAAATGGTAATTTTTTTTGCCATTAATTAGCTTTCAAGCTTTTAACACAGCACTGAAAAGCTTATCCATCATATCCAGTAGAGTACAGTTCGTACTAAGAACTGAAGGAGAATCAGACTTTCATGTTACCCATCATAGTTCTAATAATTACAATGCACTTAGAGAACACAACTGAAAAGGAAGGGGGGTGGGAGAGCAAGTTCAGTTCTAAAACAAACAGAACACTTTGAAGAAAAGTTTTATGAAATCTAAGGAAAATCTTAAGAGATATTCTGCTAACTGAATATGTACAGAAAGCATTACTGGATTTTTTGTCTTGCATACACAAAACCTGATACCCTAGAACGTAATCCTCTGAAATTCAGAGGCTGCAGTTTTAACTGCTGGCTTAGATACTGACAAATAAATGCATTCACAGAATGATTACTGCTTATTTCTTTAAATAAAAGGGTAGTGGTTGATTTTGTAATTAAATCTGGAATCTTTTTATTTGCCTAAAATCTCATTCAGCTCCTCCTTATTTTTTTAAACCCCAGTTATTCCCTTGAAAGTCAATGATGAAGACATCATTTTTCATTTACAAAGACAACAAGTTTCTGCAGAGAGGGTGGTTTAGTCATAGTCTCAAAGTGTTTCAGGTCCTTGGTGCAAAGTTTCATTCACCAAAGCTCTCAACTGTTATAAAATGAGAGTGAGGTATCCAATCTTACAGATTTGTTATTGTCATTCAACTAGCTCCTCTTTCTTTCTCTCCTAGGCAAAGCCAATAAAGGAGGAGTAATAGTCGGTGCCATTCTAGGAGCCATTTTGGGATCTGTTTTAATAGGTCTGGTTGGATATTTTATATGTGGTAAGAAAAGGTCTGAGTCATTTTCCCACAGACGGCTTTATGACGATACAAGGAACGACGCAGGTAAGGAAGAGCACAACTGTTTTCCATAAGAACAGTTTCTATTTCTCCACAGATATGCTTAAATAATCTGGTCTTATTGAGCTACTCAGAATTATATCATTGACTTCAGTCAAATCAGTTTTCAACTGACAAAACTTGATAATTTTTAGATTTTAGCTTAAGCAATCCTCCCCTTAGCTCTGTGTCTTTCCCTTGCAAGTTACTTTTTTAAACTTCTGAAATAACAGAAAATATCATATCTAGTATCAGTGAGCCTCTTCAAGGAACTGTAGGCGAGTTCAAAACAATAGCTCAAGAGCTCTCCCAAACTTTGATTAACTGAAAAAGGACAGACTCATTCCTCATCCAGAGTTTACAGACTCCTTACTCATCCATTCAATTACAGAATGAGGGATGAAGCTGTATCTGGTTTTAGGGTAAAAATATTTTTAAGAGGTTTGAAAGGAAGATTGCTTTTGTCTTCTCCATGAGTACGTATAAATTTGTATTAAAGTGTAATCACACAGTCTCCAAACATTTATATCATGTTCCTGGACTGTATTTTTAAGTGTTTAAACAAACACTGAGAGGCTAAATACACTTTTTTTCCTCATATAAAATCAAATCAAAATAAAGTTCTGGAAATAGGCCCTTTCTGGCTTAAACACAAGAGCTGAAAGCTGCCAGAATGTGAGATTAGGAACTAACTTTTCAAGCTGACCACCCATGTAGTGCTGAGCGGGTGTTACTGGGAAGACAAATGTTATATTCAGAAGAGTGAATTGGGGCCTTCATCTTTGGCTCCCCAACGTAAGTAAGAAAGAGGTTAACTGGACTTAGCTGCGTGGGGCTGCTGAGCTGAACTGTGAGGCACCCAGTGTATGGGGATAAGAATCTTTCAAGCAATATGTAAAAAATAATTATGTTATCCTTCCAGTTCTCCACTTAGACAACTCACTGGGACCATACGACACAAGTTTTGGATGTGTGTCAGATGAGAAAAGCAGCAGAGCGGGCATGGCAGAGGCCGATAACGCAGGGTGCCCACCCGATGGCATTCCCATGGCTGACATGGCACCACCCCACCCTTCACCCTAGGGTTTGCTTCAGATCACAATCTCACCCATTATCTACATGCTTTCATTGTTTCTGAAAGACGTGGCAGCTCTTCTCCTACAGCCATTACTGTGCAGTCTTTTGGAAAGCAAGGGGAAAAGTGCAAGACACACTGGTTGATGCATCACAGGCAGGGCCCAGTAGCAGAGCATCACTCTTCTGCCTTGCAATTAAATGATCAACCTATGGTTTCCCTGGAAGGATATCTCAATTGCTTGCTTATAACACAGACAAATGGCATATGGGTAAAATTCTGCCTTGAGGTGAAACTATTCTGTCCAAATATAATTTCTATCTCCTAAGTGACTTGAGGCATTACTTCCCCTATCTACATTTGTACCTTCCTCGGTGAACATGACAAAAAGAATTAGATTTACTTGGATTACTGAGAGGCTGAAGTCTGCTGGTGAGAATGGAACTACTGAGCAACAGGGACTACATTTAACCTCTGACTATGATGACAGAGTTAAAATCCATATCAAAAGGAAAAAAAAGAGATGAGCTTCTATTGCTCTGTCAAAAAGAAATGTTGTTGGCATTGCAGGCTAGACCTGTAAAAATGATGTCAAAGGTTTTTGTACAAGTTAGATGGAAGAAATACTTGACATGAAAAGAATTACCTCTGCCATGTATATAGATATCCTAAAAATCATGGTCTGGTTTTGTCCAGCTAAAGAGTAAAATGCTGGCAGCATAATGCAAATAATTGCACAGTTTATCTCCTTGCAATTACCAGACACAGCTAAGTAGAAAGAAAGAGCATAAGAAAGACATAGCTGTGAAGGCAAAGAGAATAAAGTGCAGAGAAGATAACTACTCATGTGGCATAAGTGCTTGTTACTATGATGTTAAAGTGCATGATTTAGTGTGGAGACAGTGGATCATGTTGACGGAGTTATCTCACTAGCTTACTGTGAAAGTTTCAGTGAGAGTTTATTTGATATGTCAGTAAACCAGAGAGAAACAATGGCAGTCACACTGCAGATGAGTAAAACAGGTATTTATTTCAAAGCATTTCATAGAATCATAGATCATTAAGGCTGGAAAAGACCTCTAAGATTATCAAGTCCAGCCATTAACCCAACACTAACATGATCCCAAGTGCAACATCTACACGTTTTGAACACCTCCAGGGATGGTGACTCCATCACCTCCCTGGGCAGCCTGTTCCAATGCCTCACTACTCTTTCAGTAAAGAAATTCTTCCTAATATCCAATCTAAACCTCCCCTGGAGCAACTTAAGCCCATTTACTGTCATCCTATCACTAGTCACTTGGGAGAAGAGACCAACATCCACCTCACTCCAACCTCCTTTCTGGTAGCTGTAGAGAGTAACAAGGTCTCCCCTCAGCCTCCTCTTCTCTGGCCTTTTAAAGACTAAAGAACTGAATGCATACTTGCAGTGTTGCCATTCCTACAGGGCTGTCATGAAAACAGCACAGTTACTACCAGAACCAGAAACCAATTTCTAACACTGTGTCCAGCATGTCCAGTGGACTGAACATCTGAGACACAATCATGTATATTAGGTGAGAGTATCACTCTGCTGCTTGAAATTAAGAAAAACGTAATATTCAGCTTTCATCTTCCTTAGCACATACTGTGCCATCTTTCCTGATAATGGAAAAGCAGTATCATACAAGCAAAAATTCCTCTTTACACTTGAACCTTGGCCTCAGTTGCAAATGGAAAAAGCTCCCTGTAAGGAGAACTCAAAGCTAGAAACGAAGAGATGCTAAGAAGTTACCAGCGTTGTCTACGTTGGTAGCCATACAAACAAGTGCAATGTAGTTTACTAATAATTAGTTTCATAAATTCCTAATTACAAGGTTGTAACAGCAAGATTAGGAGCCAATGAAGAAACGTTGCTGAGGCTAGCAATCAAACTGTGCCCACCAGTTATTATGTGTTAATTTTTAACAATCTAATTGTGATTTTTGCATGTGTGTCCATGTGCCTGTCTTGTCTGTGTACCTCTTTAATGTTTTGCTGTTGTTTGTATGCTGCTGTTTGCTTGGCCTAGGCCAGCCTCCAAAATCAGTGACATTTGTTCTTCATGACAAGCTAGAATCATTTATGAATATTCATAAGTCAATAAAGCTGTTGTGTGTCATTTGATTCTTTACAATTGCAAAACTCAGGCTTGAATTCACATCTGTATGTATGTGAACTGGTGTTATTTTCTCAGGATTTACATATATAAACATTTACATTGGTAAAATTAATTATCTCTTGTTCTAATAGCAGGCTTATCTACTTTGCAGCAGCAAAGTACTATTTGCTTCATTGAAAGCTAATTCCATCAAGAATTTCATGCTGGAACCATTACACTTGTCTTGTATGGCACTATTACACTGACCTTCTAAGAGAGGCAAGACTGTTCTTGGTAACTCCTGTTCAACAGTGGCCTCTGTGGAAATCACCCAGCTCAGCTTCGGGCCTCATAACATGATGTGTGTGATGGCAGAGTGAACATAATGAGATATTCAGACTGAGAATTTGAATATAAATATTTAAATTGCTGCAAGCACTTAACATCAAAGCTTTCATCTACTTCCCTCTAATTAGCTCCCACTAAACCTTTCTTATGTATTCTACATGAATTCTCTACAAGACATGATTTTTATATTGACACCAGATCACTAATTTAACCTATACATTTGGCTCTAAAAAGACTTCTGCCTCTATTCACAATATAAAATTTAGGCTTAAAGACTTAAAATGCTAAAGACGGTCATTACATTAACAGTCAAAGGCATTATTTTCACCCAGTACTAGCATAAAAATTGAACTTGATGAAAACAGGAAAATAAAAGTTTGTGTGACAAAATCATAGTCCTTCTTTGAATTTTATCATGAGCGATCACCTCCTTTGACCCCATAATCATATAAAAGGGTCAGGTGGAGTAAAAACACAAAACAAATAAAAATGTACTTACCCCAAATTGCCATAAAAATAGCGAAGAAGACAGTCCCTCCATTATCAAACAAATGTGTGACCTGAACAGAAGATAAATACATCATGAACAAATAATACTGCCACCTTATCTTTTGCCCCAGAGAATCCCTGAGTACAGACCTGGTGGGAAACTAAAAGCTAAGCATTCTCACATGGAGTCCTACTTGCACGTTCCTCCTAGTACAGTGTGTCCTGGGCTGTCATTTAGTGTAACTTGAACTTTGGTTTTGCAGACTGTCACTTCACACATCTTCAGACTATTTGTTTTACAGACACCAAGAGCTGCCTCTGTCCACGTCCACACAGGCCAGAAATTCCTACAGAGTTCTTCTCATATGCTGGGTCAAATTTAACCTCAACATTTTATACTTTAAGGTTTATATAAGCTTAAATAAATTTTGTCTTTTCAATTTTCTTCCTCTCTGTATTACATAGTTAATGGCTCCTGCAGTTCCATTTTCCTTTTCTCCCAAGTTATCTTAAATTTTTTTTTGCAGGTAAGAATAGTATATATTCTTCTATTATCCAGACATCTCAGCTTCTCAAATTGTTGACATATTCTCCTTCTTAAAAGGCTAGTGCCCCTAAATTCAAACAAACATTGAGTAACTCATTACCACACCCTCGCAAAATCAAAATTCTAAACCGTGCACTTAATTTCTCCTCATGAATGCTCTCCTATTTGTTTGACTTACCCCTTATCTTACTCTTTTTGTAAAGTTTCTTGGGCAGAACAGATATTCTGCTGCAAAGTCCAAGGCTTACTGAGAGAAAATAAGTAACATAGTTTTTGCATGCCTGTGGATCACTCTAAGCATCTGAGGGGCTAAATCTGATGTCTCGCTAAGAAAACATCACAAGATATGTTACAAAAATCCATATTTTCTAATATTCAAGCCATAATATGAATCAGCATTTAGGAAGCTGAAATTATGATTGATATACTTTCAATAGATTTAAGGCTGCCAATTTACAGCAATGTAATTTATCCAGGAATAATGGGCCTACGTTTCTTCTAATGAAATGCAGTTTAAGATGTTGGTGAGCATTAGCAAGCCAAGTACAGGCTTCAAATTCTTGTTTAAAAAAAAGCACAAATCAATGTAAAATAGAGCAAACCAACTTTTCTTGGTGTTGACTCAGTTGCCAACTTAAGGACCAATTTTTAAGCTTTTATCATGAAAAGAAACCCATCCTTATGCCAAAAGGAAAGGCACGGGTAATCAGACTGAGTTTTGCTGTGCTGGGACCTTCTCTTACAGCTGAAGTCACTCTGGCCAGCAGGAAGCTCAGAACCTGTACTGAGGGAGGTGTGCCAGGACGCTGGGGCTGGGAGCCTGCCTGGGGCAGGATCTATAACCCACTCCCGAGAGCTGCCTACTGCAAGAACTCATCCTACTGACACACCTTCACTGTTCTAGAGAAGGTTGCCATTATTGCTTCTGCCTCACCAATTAACAAAACTAACCCAGGAAAGAAAAAAATTAATAGAAATTAATAGAAAAAAGTTAATAGAAACAGTGCTCCTTGATCTTTATTTCTTACTGAGGAAAATTATTACAACGTTGTGAGAACTTATTAAAAGCACACAGTTTATCTGTATGCCAGTTCTGTTTTTCTTTTCTTTCTTTAGGGTTCTAAAATGGTAACTATTTGGTATTGGATATCCATAAATCCAGTATGTTCCCTGCATGTGGGATCAACTGTACACAAAAAGGTGTCTTTTGCTTTAATTTTGGTTCCATAAAGGAAAACACAAACACAGTGGGCGTGAAACCGAGAACGTGAGAGGTGAACAAAAGCAGTACAAGAAATATGATGAACATTTTCAGTTTTGAATGTAGATGTGTGGGAGGATGTGATTTTGGATATTCCTCATGCTCAGTGAAGAGTGAATCTTTCAAAGGAAATACAAAATGAACCAATCAACCATATCTAACCCAGAAGAATTAACTTTGCTCTAAGTAGAAAATACCGATCTGGCTCCCCATCTAGCTTTGTCTTTACAAAAAGTGTTTGGGA